TGTCATCTAGATGAAGAGGGGGTGCTAGTATGATGAAACAGGTATTCTAGCATCAAAATCATAAAACAACATAAAAAAGTTGAATAAGTAACCGAATAAGGAATAAGTAACCGAATAAGTAACAGGACTTTTGAATAAGGAATGGGTTATATTTTGTGTTTTTAGTGGTATATTTAACAATTTTAGGGTGTCATCTAGATGAAGAGGGGGTGCTAGTATGATGAAACAGGTATTTTAGCATCAAAATCATAAAAAAAAACATAAAAAAGTTGAATAAGTAACCGAATAAGGAACCGGGAATAAGTAACCAACTTCACATTTGAATAAGTAACCGAATAAGGAATAAGGAACCAGGAATCAACTTCACAGGGGTAAAAAGCCGACCAAATGGCATCATATAATTTCAATAGTAAACTTTCGCTGAATGCCAAGGACATCGTTTTATATTTCCCGAAAACTGATATTCGAGTAGATATTTTCTGTTTTCTTTCTGTGCTGTGTACATCCCTTAGCATTCTAATTTGAATAAGTATGCAATGCTCGCACAGTATAACTAGTACATCATTTAACGGAATTGACGAACTGGATCAAGGGAATAATAAATAGGGCCAATTCCCGGCAAGAAATTTAAAGAATTAAGAAACAGATTTAAAACTTTTTTTGGTTGAACGAGGAATTACACTGGTCTATAACTTGGCATGTCGACTTTATCTTAGTCGTATAAGAAACTAGTAGCAGTGGTCTATTTGTGTTGCTGTGTGTCCACGCTTGCCGAATATGTCTCTTGTTTCTTTAAATGGTGATTCGTATCCTGAAACGTATCTCAATAGTGAGAAATGCACAATCTATGTGAAACAGAACATTATATATTATGATGGATCATGCATTTACAATTGTTCTGGTAAGCCTATTTATTTCAAATGTTTATTTATGAAAATTTATCTATTAAGGGTAAAACATGATAAATTTGAATTCAAAATTTATCTTCTCCATGGCTCTCGTGAGGTCAGTAAAGGTACATAAATAAAATATCTAATAAATTAAAAAAATTAAGAGATTGTGTTAAGACTATCAAAATATGAGAAGTGGTGGTCCGTTTGAAACCTTGTACACATTTTATTCATCTGCTTCTTAATTTATTTATGCATTTGTCTTCTAAAAAAATGCCGAAGATTGCAAAGATTGTAGCGAATATTTATGAAGTGTACAAAGGAAATAATAACGATTCCTAATATAATTTCTTAGCTAGTGTCTTATGTATATTTTACTAAAATTAGTTTTTTATCTTAAACATCTGATTGTTGTTGTGCAATTGAAATATTCACACGTATTACTTGAGAAATTAAGGTCCCAAAAAGATATCCTGTCTCATTGCAAAAACAAGGATTTTAAAGACAGAACAGCCATGACTGATGCTATCACAGAAAGACATTACCCCAGTCGTTAATGTGTAAACCACTCCAGTGAGATCAGTCAATAGTGGAGACCTCCAGACACATGAAGATAAAGTGGCGTTCAGACGGGTTCACTAGCCGGCTTGATTACACAACTTTGAAGCAGTGAGACTCTAGCTATCTTATTTTAGTCTTGATCAACCCTTAAGTAACCCTTGGCCAAGCGCAGCTTTGTCACAATCATTAAGCATATATAAATAACACGCAGTTTGGTAAACGACGACTGATATGTTAGATTGGTTCTTACTGCAACTTGGTCTAAATAGCGAGAAAGTATGACGAAATCAGCTGCCTTTTGCTAAAACTGTGAAATGCAGTACATTTCTGCATCCAGATATTTACGTATGTATTAACAATTCAACATGTGTTAAACGGCGACCAGTGCACGAGACGCAACTGGACGGCCGTCAACTGATAGATAAGAAAAACCAACTCAGCACTCCGGATATAACGGGATCAACATGAAAGAAAAACAAGCCACAGTAGACCGGGACAATAATGTCATTAAAAGAAACAACGACGCATACCAAGGGGATGATACAGAAAGCACTCCTCTTTTGAGTAAAAGTGACCGGCGCGTTCAGCAGTCCAAATGGGAGCCTCTCTCACAGCTGATTGTTCTTGCATCCGTGTATATGTTGGGGTACTCCCCCTTCTTCGCGTTATTGAATCTAGAGAGTATACTGTATCCGGAGATAGGCGTTTTTGCTTTAATGTGCAATTATGGAGGGTCCATTTGTTCTTTAGTGACTGCACCTGTGATTGCCAAACATCTTGGGGCAAAGGGATCTGTTCTTCTAGGCTGGGTTTGCCAAGCAGTATTCATTGCGGCACATTTCTATATGGTGCCGTATATCATTCTGCCGGTTGCGTTTTTGGTGGGAATAGGTATGTATTGGGTAATCTGACTATTGACCTACTACTGTGGACTATTGGCCTACTATCAAACTAAGAATATCGTATACTTTTAATTTTTTTTCATTATTTTATTGATTTTGCATTTCTCTCCCGGAAACCTGACGTCTGTCTTGTTCCTCCTCCTTCTCTCTCTTTCTCCTCTCACTCCCAACTTTCGTTGTATGTGTTTCCTTAAATTCTGGTATTAATCAATTTGTTCCAGGACACGCTCAGGCTTGGATAACCAACGCTGTCTTTGTTACCGCGCTGGGACTTCAGTACTCTGAAATCACCGGCCGTCCTCAAGGTGAAGTCATGGGCATGTTTCAGGGAATATTCTTCACAATCTTTCAATTTAGTGGCATCTGGGGCAATCTTGTCTCCGCTCTCGTGTTGAATAGCCCACTAGACGCCACAACTGGTAATGGGAGCACCGCTCATACGCAAGGCGGGAACTTGAGCGCGCTTTGTGGAAGTAATTTTTGTCCCTGGGAGGATACGTCCGGGACTTACATCACCCAACCGGAACAGTACGTGATTTATATCATTCTTGGGTGTTTCTTAGGATTGTTGAGTTTGGCTTTTGTTATTACACTTTTATTTTTGAAGGACGTCAAATCGACGACAGGGGATTCCCTCCATAGCGTGAAAGATTTTCTGGTGACTGTTTGGCGACTGGTCTTTAGAAAGAAGATGGGTCTTATTCTGCCAGCATTTATGGTCGTGGGAATCGGGCAGACCCTCGTCCTTACAGAGTTTATCACAGTAGGTAGCTTTTGATTTTGGTAAGGCTTGGCAAAGCCCATATTTTTTTTTTTTTTTTTTTGAAAAGATTAAAAATTAAATGGAAAAAGCATTTACATGATAATAGCACAATGCACTGTTCTCTCACTATATCACTGGATATTGTTCTTTTTATAAAGAAAAAAAAAGGGAGTGGAAGTAAGAAAGGCAAACAATTCCATCACTGTAGTTCTCTCCAGAAGAAACTTTCAATTAAGTCGAATACTCATATAAACTTACATGTCCTCTAAGATTAAGTGGATTTTCTTTTTAAAAATTACAGGCGTTTACAAGCTGCGAAATTGGTATACAATATAACGGTTGGTCGGCCATGTTCTACAGCGGAGGCCTGGTGGTTGGCTCGGCCTGGACCTCTCGTCTCGTGAAGCACGTGGGCTGGGTCGCCATGTTTATACTAGCCGCCTGCTGTAACTCTGCATGTATGGCTAGCATGCTGTTATATCAGTCGTCAGGATTTGATTCACTGGAGTTCTACTTTCTGATACCTGTGGTCTCTGCATTGGGAGACTCCATGTGGATGGCAACCGCTTCTGGTAGGAGGCTTTATTACATCAGAGTCAAATATTTTTCATGTAATATCTCGTTTAGTGTAAACCGCTGGCTTTTTTTTTACTAATTGGGGTGGATATAGACTTGTCCTATGACAGTGGCAATTTGCTATGTGATCTTAGACAAAAGATATCAATAACCTATACACGTATATTGTTTGAAATGTTTGGAAGTAGAAACAATGCAAGGCAATTAGTAGCTATCGTTCTTCTAACACGGGAGGCGTGCATTTTATTCTGGCACCGTGAAAAAGCCATCATACCACAACGGTGGTTTCTTTCAGGAAGGCTTTCAGCACACGTGTCCTTACAACGTATAGTAATAAAATTCAAGTTTTGGCTTCTTTTTCATTTGTTTCAGCTTACGTGGGTCATGTGTTTCCGGATCAGAAGTGGCCCGTCTTTGTGACCATGAGGAGCTTCATGTACGTGGCGTTTGGCGTGGTGTATGCCTACTCCAACTTCACCTGCATGGAGGCAAAAGTTTACATCGCTCTTGGAGCCGTCGGACTGTCGCTGCTATCGTCTCTCTGTTTTATTGGGATAACGAAGAATTGGAAGACAAGCCAAAAGTCAGATATTTAAATATCTATTTAATTTAATTTAATTATAAATTATTATTTTCAAGTCCAAATTCTTGATGTAAACATTAAGGCTTGAGGAAGGGAGAAGAAAGGGCATGGGTTAACGAGAGCAGATTTTCAACGGGTTTGAAAAATAAAAGAAGCAAATTATAGGCATTTATTATTTTCAGTGATGAGGAGAGTTTGCTTGAGATTTTAAATCATCGTAAGTCATCTTTGCGGTGTGATCCTATTTTTTTTTTTTATTATTTGTGCTGCGGTTCACCGTTCTAACGGCGACAGACAATTTTCATTTATTTCGTAGATTTTCTTGGACAAGATTGGGGTAGGTTAATTAACATTGGCGTCAATCTTTCAATGAAAATCCGAGCACATTTTTGAGAGCCTCTCAAGAGAAATAAATCCCCTTGTAACGAATACATAAAGCTAAGGACTGTATCGCTAAAGTATACCGACCGATGTGAAACGTAATCCGTTTCAGATTTTAATCAACTTCAAACGAAACAAGTCTGGAAAAAATCCAATTTTATTTCATTTTAAGCAGTGTTTACAGCATATGCGGATTATGTTTACAACAAATAAAGTATTAAAATGTACATTTGTTACTAGGCAAGTGACTCAGTCGTATTAATTTTATTTCTTCACATATTAGAGAGACTGAGAAAAAGAAATACACATAATATCTGAAATCACCTTAACCCTTTAACCCCATACAGGACATGTAATACACAGATAAGGAATTCTGTAGATGAGATTCCAGTAAATATGTTAATACAAACAACCATTTTGCCACAGCCCCTCCTAGAACCACTTTCTAACAAATAAATATCACAGTTATACTTCCTTATCTTTAGCACCGGGCTCTGTCAACCTTATTAGATGAAAACTTAGCAGATTTTCTCTCATTTAGCACAGCAAAGGCCAGTGTGAAAGTTACACTGAACTTACTACTAAACGCCCTACATAAGTTGTGGCCCTGTCGATCCAACCTTGACTTTTGTACCATGACCTCTTGACCTTGACTTCCATGAAAATTAAGACTGTATCAGAATATTAGACACAATTTCTTCTTGGTCGAACTTTTCATCTCAACAAGTGGTGGTTCCCAATAAATAGGAGATTAAATCAATATGTTTTTAAATAAAGAAGGGGTTAAGGAACAAAGAAAAAAATTGGAACTGAAATATAATAAATAAATAATTATAAAGATAACCATAATAATGTAGTAAAAAACTTAAGATTACTTAGAAAAGCAATATTTTGACTCCTCAAGGAAAGGCTTTGGTGCACTTTGCATTATTTAACAAATATAATTGCCCTAGTACAAAAATACCTTCACCCTAATTCCCCTCGCTGGAATGCTACACGTAAAAAGTTAGCCATATTAATAATAATAATATAATGCATGATCTTTTACACATAACGGAAGTGAAGTACATAACATATAAAAGAATGAATATCTTGAATGTATATCATTGCAGAAATAATCTTCATTATGTTATTCAAGCAGTTTGTGCTATAAAAGTATGAATATCTTGAATATATGATCTTGCATAAAGCATTATTAGTTTACAAATACATTTTATGGCAGTAATTACTGTACCAAAGCAATGCAGAAGAGAAATGCTATTTAAAACACTAACTGGTCTTTCAGTTATGTGTAAACCTTTGGTGTATTGCTTTTCATTTTACAACATATTTAAGTACCAAACTTGAACAAGCACTCTAAGGTATTTATACGCATTAGATCCTTTGTGAAGAAAAAAGCATGTTCTTAAAGACTACCATTTGGCATATATGGTGGAACATGACAGAGTTTGTCAGCATGACTCCCATTTCCAAAATTAATCAAAGTTATCATTTTAAAGAACTGCCCTCAGCAGGTAAAAGTGAACACTGTTCCCACAATTGTAGTAAAGACTGCCACAATTGTGGTAAAGATTGAATGAGCATTTTCATGTGATCAATTTGTTTTCAACTGAACCGAGGACCAACTTGAGCTGAATAAATCTTTTTATGTTTGTAATGCTTTGGTTATTTACAATTTGATTATATTTACACTACCCTGCTCTCTGCCATTTTTGACCCTTGAAAATGTTTTATCTTCATTTTCTAAAATTGATGGCATAAGCACTGACATGCTGCACTGAAAACTGTCTGATATGTTAGACACTGACTGGTTTTTTGACGGTGATGTCAGCCTCACTTCCATCCTTGGGAACAGATGCCTTGAAAGAGACGCTGTTCTCCCGCATCTTCTCATAGGCAGGCTGCTTGGTCATGGCTGCAACAATCATGTTGTACTTGCCTTGTCTCTTCCTGGCTGTTCTACAGCAGCACACCTGGTGGGCAAAATTGGAACATTCAAGCAATGATGCATTGCATAAACTGTTGCATATATCCAAGACTGTCAAAACATCAGTTAAATCAAATCTGATTCAATAATTTGATGTAAATCATATTCAAATAAGTATACCTGTGTGTGCTTAGAAAATATAAATGGAAATTATCTGTAAATATCTTGGACTTCGTGTTTCAAATGACATAGTATCTGATCTGAATTCTACTGGAAAGAAAAGGTCAAGTTTAGTTCTGACTTCTCAGTTGCATAAAACTACTTCAGAAAGAGGGGAAAAAAAGGAAAAAAAAAATATATGAAACTCAACAATTTTTGCCAAATACCTACCGTCACAATCACTAAAATGGCTATGAGAACGGCTCCACCCAGGGTCACTCCAATCAGCCCGTACATGTCAAGGCCTGCACACTCACAGCCAGTACAGTGCTTCAAGGTATCCATCTCACGACGACCGAATGGGCAATGATTGGCACACATCACCATGGGGCAAAGATGGCGGCGCGGAGTCTGAAGACAATCACATGTCTGGCAGCCGTTTTCATCCATCTCGTAACCATACTTGCACGGCATGCACTTGAGCATTGGGCACTCGGTGCAGGGCGTGCATTTCTTACAGCCGTACTCGTCGGTGGTGTACCCGCAGCTGTCTGCGCACAGCTCCACTGGGCAGTTGCTTTGGGGCGTGCTGCGACAGTCGCATGTCATGCACCCGCGTGCATCCAGTGCGTACCCATACTCGCAGCGAGTTGCACACATTGGCATGGCGCATGCTACAATAAATGTGAAGAATGATATTATTTGAAACTCTTCCACACTTGTATGCTAACAGCAGCTTCATGCAATCTGGTGATAAATTATTCTTATAATAAATTAGGAATTTTGCTTGAATTTATTTAGGTCCATACTTTTAATTAGAATCTAAAAAATAACTGTGTCTGATTGTACATCAGTCCATACTTTAAATTATACATTAATAAGTGTGTTTGAATTTACAAAGTTCCATACTTAAAATTATAGACAATCAACTCTGTTTGAATTTACATTGGTCCATACTTAAAATAACAAATCATCAACTTTGTAAGAATAACATAAGTCCAGACTTCAATTTATAAATGTTCAACTCTCATTGAATAAACCTTGGTCCATGCATTTTACTGATGTTATCTAAGGTGAAAAAAAAAACTTACGCATCTCAGGCTCAGGTAGACAGGTCCACATCATAGGACAAGGGGCTCTGATACACTGAACCTGTTGTTGTTGACATGTCTGGCCTTTGGGGCAGCCTTCGGGACACTGGTCCGCAGGTTCAGGCTCTGTAACTATAGAGGGCAGCACATAGTAATATCACTGGAACTATAGGTGTCAGCACTGAGTTATAACTATAGGTTCAGCACTGGGTAACATGTCTGTATCTGTACATCTCAGCACCATCTTACATCTAATATTACCATAAATGTCAACACTGAGTTATATGTTACATCCAGAAGTTTAGAGAATGACTTGTACAACACCCCAATGACATTAAAGGTGACTGAAAAGCCCACAATGTATAAATGATTGAATTTATGATGGCAGTAGTGTTAGTGGTAGTTGTAGTAATAGTGGTGGTAGTGGTATTGGTAGTAGTGTTAGTGGTAGTTGTAGTAATAGTGGTGGTAGTGGTATTGGTAGTAGTAGAAGTAGTTGTGGCAGTAGTAGAAGTGGTAGTAGTACTTGTTATGGCAGTAGTAGCAGTTGGGGCAGTAGTAGAAGTGGTAGAAGTATTACTAGCAGTGTTGGTGGTATAGGTAAAAGTAGATGTGGTGGTGGTTGTGGCAGAAGTAGCAGTAGTGGTAGTAGTAGGAATGTTGGTAGCAATGGAAGTAGTAGTAGTAGTAGTAAAAGTACTAGTGGTGGTGGTAGTAGTAATAATTTTAGCAGAATGAACAGCAGCATCAAGTGCCTTCATTTCCACCCCTAGATGCACACCTGGGCAGTCCTTCAGCTCCTTACACACGCCATCGTGGAAAATAGGTTTGCTGCCTGGGCACTGGCATCGCGCAGCACACATCCTGTTACAAATGGGATTTGGTTCATCGCACGTCGCGGTGCAACTCATTCCACACTCGAACCACTCTTGACCCCCAGTACACACTAAAGTTAAAGAGCACGAACAGGTGCGAATTAAAATAAAGGAAGCATATATGAAGACAGAAGGAAGAATAAAAACAAAAGTGATGAGATGGTATGAAAGGTACAACATGTTAACATAAACTTCAACACCACATTACACAACACTTATTGATTAAAGAATTGTACTTCAAAGCAATATTAAAGGGATAATAACTCTTTGTTTCGGCCAAAAAATGAATTTTCCTGGAGTAAACAACAATTTTCCCATACTTACCAATGGTTAATGAATCCATTTTTACATTCAAAGTTAGTCCCTGGTTTTTTTCTAAAAAGTTTGGTTTTTTGTTAAAATCTCTTTGAATCCATTTTTACATTCAAAGTTAGTCCCTGGTTTTTTTCTAAAAAGTTTGGTTTTTTGTTAAAATCTCTTAAGAGATTATAACAGAGTATAGCCATCAATGGAGGTCACGTGATCTGAAGACAATCTCAGATATCAGAATAATAGCTATAACTGCTGTTTTTGTCGTAAAACAGAATATATTATATTTCTATGAGCTATTCACAATGTTTTTATTGTGAAATATAGATCTCATACGAAGAGTTATTATCCCTTTAACATCTAAAGCATTTAAGTGCATAAATGCAGACTCAAGCATATATAAAGCTCATACTGCCAAGAGTATGGAAAAAAAGATTCTAACACATAAAAGTAACTTAAAGTAAAAAAATAAAATAAATAAAATAACTCTTATTTCTGCATAACATTTCAGAGAGCCAAGTTTCCACATCTTTGAAACAAAAAAGACCAACACCAATAGAAGAGAAGCCTTAATGGGCATTCCAAGGCGTACCTGATGTACTGCACTCTGCCATGTCCACACACTGCTCTTTCTTCTCGTGCCACACCTGCCCGTTGGGACACTCGCATTTCGGCGCACACATCTCTATGCACATCGGGCTGGGTTCAGAGCATGTCCGTGTGCAGGGAGATCCACACTCTTTCCACACCATGCCTCCAACACAAGCTGTGACAAAGCAACAATATGTTGTTTATATTGAAATTGAGTCCTAACAGAGTGGTATCAAAATTTTATCTTGATAAAGCCAAAAGGTTAGAGTTAAAAGTTTATGAACTACCAGAATGCTTAAAGCATTTGTAGAAAAAAATAAAAGCTCTGATAAAATGAAAATTAAAGCTGAAAATTTCAACAATTACCTGGCACTGAAAATGCCACAAATTTTTAAAATATTCTTTATTCTACTCTGACAGAGGATAAACCGGTTAAGTGGCACATATCATATTGTTAAATCAAAAAGAACTTGGACAAGGCATAATTACTTTTGTCCACACTGGCGACAGTGGTCGTTTCCTCACTCTGACACTCGCACATTGGACAGCCATTGCTGTCTCTCTTCAGGCTGCTTCCGTCGCAGCCCAGATCTTGCTGACAGCGGATGTCAGGGCAGTCGTAGTTGTCAACTGTCACTATGGCTGTAATGGGAGGACCAAAATTAATGACTATGAAGTACACATACAATGTGTTACTTTTTGATACATATACATACAATATGATACTAATAGATACAATGTGATATATTGCCAGTGTGAAGCATAAGCATCACATACATAACCTTCAATAGCAGCTGGTTGAGTCTTGTTACCAAAAAAAATAAATTGGTCTCTATTTTAAAACAAAACCAACAAAGAACTAAATATATTGTGTTAAAACAGAAACGCAATTTTTTAAAACAAAAATTGATCTTTATCTTAAAACTAAATATTCCCTCTCGTTTTACATGCGGTGGTCCACTTAAATAAAGTAATGATCAGCATTTTCACAAACCAGGTGCAGCATTTCATGTAAGTGGTCTTTTGTTACTCCACCTAAGGTGAAAGTAATCAAACAACTTTGGTCTAAAATTTTAGACCATCTTAAACTGGGCTTAAACTATTCAGTTAAACCAAATAATCACAAAACTGGAGGCTGACGGAGGAGTCACTTACGCTCTGGGTCTTTACACACGTGACCACAGCCATTGCTGCAGCACAGCTGTCCTTTGGAACAATCAGCATGATTAGAACACATTTCTGCACATATCCCGACAGCCATCAGTGGATGCAGGGCAGGACAGCCGCCACCTGAAAGAATGGTATTCACAGATTAAAGACGTAAAATGGTGAGATATCTGAAAAATGCAAACCCCAAAGCCATGCTGCTCTAAATTAGGATCCAGGGGGCTTAAATACAAAGTCCATATATCCCGATGACTTTCACCTCTAGGAATTGTAACAAGTACTACTTTACACATACACAAACAGCACCAGATTGCCATTATTTTGCTTTTCTTACGTATACTGGTTTCTCTGTAGGTACAATTCAGCCCTTGGACTGGTCAGGTCCCACATACTTAAGTTTAACACAACTCTTGGTGCTACAGGGTCCATACACCATGAATCTATCGAAATTAGTTAGTGCACACTAACTCAACAGGGACTCTTGCTGAATTGAATCGGTAAAACACAAATCCTTTTGTATCCAAAGTACTCGCATAATCACCAACTACTCTGTATTCTACTCCATGCCAGGAGGCATGTTTATCTGTTCATCCGATAACATTCAGCGAGAGTCTCCCATGGATGTTTGTCCACACGAGTTAGTACCACAGATGATGGGAAGGCACCCTTATCTGACCACCCTGACTTACCTGACCGGCCACAGAGAGGGGCGCCAGAGTCGGCCGGGATTTCCTCAGGTGGGTTCATACACCTGCATCCTGGGATAGAGTCTCGTAGGCAGCATGACATGCCGTTCACTGTGGCCCGGGGCTTCCACGCACAGTTTGGGGGCTCCTGCGCAGACACAGCCATGCCAATCACGGCAGCAATTACGATACAACTCAACATGGTGGTTGGTGATTTCTGAAAGGATGGAAATGCATTCTTTTCAATATTTCAGTAGTTTTCAAAGCATGAAGCTGGTATTTTTTCCAAGGGTTCCCAGTCTTTTTCTGCAAAAGTGGAGCTGTTTACTCTTCTAGTCAAACTAACATGAAAAATGACATAGAATCTATATGAAATCTTCATTCAAAGTAAACATTTTTTTTTTGCCTGATCCCTTCAACCCTAACTTTCCACCTATTAGATTTGACTTAAAAAAAATAAATAAACAAAATAAAACTGTCACACAATTCATAACTTTTAAAAACCCAAAATATTTATTTCTATCAGGTTTTGTTTTGCCACACATAAAGTATTTTAATTCAATATTTGAAAATTTTTTGAAGCAACAACTTTTGCAAAGAAATAAATTTAAATATCTATATAAACAAATGAAAAGATATGAAAAACATTTACTGGTATTAATTTTTCCCACAACCTGGATATCCACTGAGTCATTTATAATTCAAATAAAAGCCGAGCTGCCTGAACAAATTGCTGTTAGTTAACATGCAGAAGCTTATAATTGGGGTAAAGATGTGTCTTAAAATGAAGACGTCTAGATAAAAATTCATCTTTTTAAAAGATAATAAATCCTAATATTTCAATTCTCTGTCAGAGAGAGGTAAGAAAGGATCATATCATCTGTATTGAAATTATTCTTTTCCATAATAATACCCCAAATTAAGGAAGGAATGTGTTGTCATATATAACCTGGACATTTATAATATTAACTAGACTAAGCCCTAAAATGCCATCTTAGCTTCTACATAATAAAGCCCCTAGATTGTGAACACATACCTTTAAATCTGAAACCTTTTACATACCTGGGTGAATTATTGTGAAGACATACCTTTAAATCTGAAATCTTTTCTATACCTGGGAGGAGTACTAAGCAGCAAAGTACCTGGTTACTGCCTGGTTACTGCCCCTGACCTGTTGTCTACATGTTTAAAGGGAGGGGGCAGGTAACCCGGCAAGGGGTGGGGTGGGGGTGGGGGGCTTTTTCTGAAGATGATTTGTAACTGGCCCTTCAACTTTTTGTGTCCCTGTATGACTACTGAGTCAAACCTGAACAGTAAGTTTTTATTAATAACTTTGCATGGCCATTACCATACAAAAAGGGGTTAACTCAAGTTTCAATACTTTTTTTCATCAGCAATGACATCAGAATTTTACCTCATTTACATACCATTTCCTCACATATCAGACAATTTGTCAGGAAAAGGCAACCAGGAAATTAAACAATGATTTATTCTTTTACAATTTGCCCAAGGGGATAAAGGCCACCAGTGGCGGCACCTACATCAAGACAGGGCGGTTCCCAGTATGCAAACCAAACAAAGATATGATAATCTTCTACCTAAATCATATATCCATAAATCAGGAAATTAGTCAGAAGAGATTATTTATAGGAATCATGGATGACAGCTGTACAAATATCTGGGCGTTATGAACTGTTAGAACACGGGTCACTTTTTTTTCTGATGATGATTATGAATAGATTTTCTATTCTTTGAAATACAGAAAAGTTGCTGACAAGGAAAACTGCCCTACAAGATACTTAGCTGTCTTAAGCCTGTCACAGATCTGTTCTAAGCCTATCATTCAACCTGCAGAGAGAACTGACTGACACAAGGAAGTCAAACTGATTATATTGTGACTTGTGAATGGACAATACAGAATTGCCTTTCTTGACAACAATTTACTACATTACAGGCCAAGTTGAACAAAAAATTTATAAAATCAAGTAACTTGTACACAGGTTAAAAAGATAATTTTCTATGCTTCAAAAATGTTTACATACTCATTACATATGTGAGGTTTGCCAGCTGACTGATAAAATGTCATCAGAGCAGTCTCTTGTTGATTCAACTCCAAAACATTCCGTTTACAATCAGTGTTTGTAAAAAACAAATACTTATGCACAATGGTGGGTTTCATTTACATGTGAAATCCGGAAGTGAGCAGGTCACTAAAAGTGCAACTGATAAAACTCCTACACTGAGGCATAAGGAATTATTCAGTGTAACTTGAATCCTTTGCGAAGTGCACCTTATGGCCTTAATTCCAAGTTTTTCACCATGTCACGCTGACACAGCAGAAGACCATGACTAGGTCATTTTTCATGTATTTTATTCCAATCTCACACAGAGCTAGTAAAATCTTTGTTCATCTCAGATATATGTTTAGTTACAAGTAAGCAAACAGAGGAATCTGTATATCATTTTCATTATTTTCCTCTGAATTACGTTGAATTAGTTATATTAATGTCTTCAACTGCTGTTGCACAATATGTTGCAGTCACGAGGCAGCTATGAATGAAAATAATATGGTTCATTCGGCAACATTAGGAATTCAACTTCAGCAGTTCAAAGACTTTTGAGGCTCTAATTCAAGTACTTCTCAAGGACTTTCTGACTTTAAATGAAGCCAACTTATAATTAATATCATTTCTAAGGGCCACTAGGATTGTTTCTTCAACTAACAGCTTAAATTATTTACCAATATCTTCATGTCACATCACATTCTCTAGGAAAATCCTGGACAAAAACAAATTTTGATTTTTGTCACTGATTGCAGACACTATTGTTGTTTTACCCTGATGAGTGATGATGACAGTTTTTTTTTTTTTTTTACTGTAGCCACAACAATACCTTCCCATTACTAGTCATTGCCAGTAGTTGGTGCATAATGATCAAACCAGTTCAACATGGTCATTAACATGACCCTGGGGGCACTGTACTATAGTGGTGATCTTGTCAACCTAATGGGCAAGTCAGACTAACATGTTTGGCAACAGAAGAACATAGCAAAGGTCAGAACATCATGTTTGGAAGCTCTCTTGGATATGATTTTCATTTGGCTAATAGCTAAAAGGCTGAATTAGGTTACGAAGATCGGGGTTTTTTTCTAACCAGGTCAAGGGGAAAATTGGCGAAAACTTAGTTAATATTTGATATATTTCTTGAGCCAAATACTAGTAAGAATACAATGACAATTTACTGTAGCTGAATTTTTCCTCTCCCCATGCGACATTTGCAATTTTAGAGATATTTGGCATGTGTATGTGGTATACCACCTCCTAACCTCTAAATCCATGGGACAAAATTTTATACCAGAGGACATACAGGTTCTTTGTTCAAGTGAATGAGAGAAAAGAATGTGAAACTTTGCCATTAATTGGTGATTTGTGGACTGCCAAATTATTTCAAAATTGTCATGGAAAAGTCTTTAGGTTCAAGTCTATGAACACATGCATTCTTTGATCACTGCCTTTTAAAAACAGATAGGAATTAATAAGGCCTTGATGTTGCTATTAACTAAGTTTATCACTGTTAACAGTAGATGAATTTACCTTAGTTCTCAGATAAGAATTCTGACCGAAGTCTGACATGTTACTGCAAGATATTGTGCACTTTACAAATTTTAACCTTATCAGCCATCTTATTTCATTTGATTCTATTCATAGCTATGCAAGGATAGTTTCATGTTATGTAATTGACCGTGTTCTGTCTTTTTTCTCCAGCTGTATATGTTGATCAATACACATACACAGAACAATGTCATAAACATTGCCAACTCAGAGAACATGGAAAGTATGCTAACATCATCCCATTAACAACTGTTGATCACCAACTGTTGCAGAATATTAATGAAAGGTGTGACATGTTCACACCTGTACCGTCTCCTTTGTCACCAATCTCCAGTTATTGTTTGACAAGAACTGAATACACTAAGAGATAATGTACCATCTTGAAGGTATTGTTTCAGGTATTGTTTCAGGCTTTATGTCCATTTGACCACACCCTGAGTTTTATAAACAGTAGCTAAATGCTTTTGTACACAGCAATCACCTTGATAGAAAACATGGAAAATCTTTTAGTGATGCATTTAATTTTGACAGTATAAAGTTCTGTTTAGGCTAAGATTTTCCGCAGTTTGGATTACATAAAATGTAGTTTAGGGTGAACAATTTAAGAATTTAAGGCTTCTTGACACCAGATCTTTAAAAGACAACAAATAAATGTCAACACCAGTTTTTAACATACGATGACATATCAGACGACAAAAACGAACAAAGACGCCCGACTCCGGAGATCAAAAATACCACAAAGGGCACTAATAATCCGTTCATAACTTTTCTGCCAGAACTAAAAACATCTAATGCGAATGTTAATTCAGTTACTAAGACGCAGTCTACTTCACTTTCATCTTAAAATCTCTGAGTTCTAAATCATGAAAATGGCACCCTCCATTTTGAACTACAACCAGGACTTACCTCTAGATTTACAGCTTTTCTCTCATCGGATCGTTTTCTTCTATATATAGTTACGTGGTCAACTGGCCTAAGTACTCTAGTTCTGGGGACTTCCTGTCTATGTTATTTTCGTGACATGTGAAGCTGTCACGGAAGTTTAACTCGCTGCTTCTCGATTACTGTCTTCACTGAAGGTAAGCAACGCTACTGCGCATGCGCCGTGATGACGTCAATTCTTCAGGTGAAAACGGCGAAATGGCTGTCAACAGATGACTCATCATGCGGTGTAATGTAGGCATGTAGGCAATATAGAGTTCGCGATTAATGGGTGATATGGCAATTAAAATTTTGGTAATACGTTAGTACACAACACTTCGTGATATTGCCATTGAATGAAACATAGGACACCCGTCTGTAAAAAAAAAAAAAAAAAATAATAATAATAATAATAATAATAATAATGATAATCTTTTTTTATGAATAGGCCCAAGTCCGCTCAAAAGAGTCTGCTGATTTGCTTTTTTCTTTGAAATTTTTTAAAAATATTCTGATCTAGTTAAAGTGAATATTACGTAACCAACATTACACCGTGAGCGCTGACATGGACCAAAAAAAAAAAAAAAAAAAAAAAACTTAGCCTATAAACTCCTAGAATTGCTAAGGAGGTTGGGCGGATATTGTCTTCTCACTCTTGTAAATTAGTAACCCTATCAAACAAGAAATGAAGTTTATTACGTTGATGTTAATGCATACTGCAGGATATTGTGTTGCATTGGTGTAAGCAAGGACTTCGTACAGGTGCCTGTACTTAACGTTTAAGGCCATAATTAATCATGCACTTGCCATTTCATAATAAGTCGTTGTTCTAATTCCCCCTCGACCAACCCCCGCAGTCATTATACTATAGGTTTCTAGTTAATTTGTTAATGCCTTTTTGATTACACTAACAAGCCTACGTATTATTTTTTATTTATTTTTTTTTCGTACAAGAATTGTACTATCCTACTGAACAATGCTCTGTTACTTATGCAAATTTAGTTAAGTTTTTGGTTTTCAATCTACGCAGGCGTAAGAAAGTTAACAACATGTTTTACATAACTGCTTTTTAAAACAGAGTCGCTGCGGTGTGCAGGTGCGTGGTAAATTACATGCAACGCGTCTTTGGCGGTTTATCATTAGCAAATATGAGATTCATTTTTTCTTAGGAAAAGCCTAGATCAGAGTACTCATACAGGAGTAGTATAGTGTAACTTAAGAGGCATTGTAGCTGCCGGTATTGTTGAAATATATTTTACAAACTATCATCATGTGTGTGTGTGTGTGTGTGTGTGTGTGTGTGTGTGTGTGTGCGTTGGGGGGATGGAGGCAAGTGCCTAAACAACAGAACAGCCACTTACGTGAAACAACAGAATAAACTAATATTGAATTGAGTTCCAAAAGATCAAATGTCGTGTCATGTAATACTTTTGTTTCTTTTATTTATTTTTTATCATTCTTTTTCCTCTTTATCATTTATTTATTTATTTATTTATTTATTTATTTATTTATTTCTGAAACCACTTATTTTAGTCCCAGTATCACTTCTCCAATGGACCTCAGTCTTATCTTCCAAAGAAGACTTGGTTTCAGTAAGTTCAGTAAGTTTAACTTGGTTTAATGTAAGTTTATCATCGCGGGCGCTAGCTACGGGCAGTAATCATATCATGTCCGTGTGTAGACTGTGTTCCAGTAAAATTGTGTTTGTAGTTCAGTTGACGTACAATTGTGGTAGGAGGGACAGCCTACACAGTGTATGTCGTTGATCGCCATCTGGGAAATGGAATGCAAAGTTTACGAACCTTTTTGGTTTCTTTTGTCTGTGTAAAGATTCTGCACGTATATCTTCGGAATAAGCTGTCGCTAGGCATAAAACAGACAAAATATTGACTCTTTTAAATTACTAAAATCCCATAGTTTTTAATGTTTACAGAGAGAGTATACTGGTATTTTAAAATACATGTACATTTAGTATTGTCCTTTTAACCGCGTATGCTAAATAATCTTTGTGTGCCTTGAATAATTTTGTAAGATGTAGTATTATTATTAGTAGTAAGATTTTAAAAATAATGTGTCATAAGATAATTTATTCATTTTATTTATTGTGAAGGTAGTATTTATTATTATTATCATCATCATTATTATTATTATTATCCGAAAAGTATCACAATTAAACATGACAGTCAGAGACCATCACCCTTAGCGAGGAACTTGTCCTCGCTTAATATCGATCAAATCAACAAAAATCTCTAGTGACGCATCCCCTTTCAATATCTAATTCTATAATTCGCGAGTTATTTTTTTCTTTTTGTTAGCTTTCAATTGCCTTTGGGTCCTATCGCTGCCTTACACAAACTACTAGTATTCTTTGTCCCAGTCTACATTGTACATGTATACGTAGAATGTATATGTTTTTTCACAGGTAAATTTAGGTGACTGGCAGATCTGCAGGACACAAAGATTATTAGGAAGCTTGATTTGTCGCAAGACGAGGTTGATCTGACAACAAACACATCTAAACATTACGAACTCCAAGTTTTTTAACCCGTGTTACCAATCCACACTAACACAACCGATCATTTTGAACACACCGATGTAATGCTAATAACGACGGTAGGCCTACTTGACCACGTATCTTATTCAAAATGTTAACTTCATACAGGTATTTTTAATATTCAGTCCCCTTTTACCTAAAATCTATGGCAACCCAGCTCTACAAATCTACGAACCAAATGAATTAAGATATATACTATATATGCGTGTCCACTCACAAACTGACGATCCAATTACCAACTAGAGAGTGCACGTGGTAATTCAACCAATTGTATTGTTTTATTATATTACATTGTACAAGGTCATGATTATTTATATACCAGTACAGAAATAAATTGAGTTGAATTGTATTGAATTTGTTTAAAAGACTTACATTAAAAGGCTTATCGATATGTAGGTACATTGTATTCCTGCGGACTGATTGAGCTTGAATTGAGATCAATCTTGTTATGATTATATTGCTTTTTCTTTAAAGAAAAAACAAAAATGCCGACCGCTACATGAATAGATCTAACTGTGACCCATTAAGAAAAAAATGAAGATACAAAGTTAATCTTCGAACATGGTTTTGGTTATAGATGCACGTCGTTTTGTCTAGGTCTAGTGTACGTGGAAGCCACTGGGCATTGTTTGCGGCTCTTACCAAAATGAAAAGTTTGCAGCTACGAACTTTGTAGGAGTTTGCAAGAAAATTAGCTACAAATTTGCAGGGGGGGGGGGGGGGGTATAGTCCGCCAGGAACCGTTGTCCGTTCCCAAGTATTAACCACAGGTGACATGCGTCTCATATACACAAACCCCACTCTCTCCTAACCTGTACTAATAATATGGACCACCATTCCTGTCACACCTGTGTGGTAAAATTGTGTGTACAGTTAATTTATCATATGTTTAAACAGGAAAAAAAACGAAAAAATGTTGGTTTGTCACAATACAATCTAGATTCATTGACTACAGTATGCATGTAAGACGGGAAAAAATTGATGCAGACGAATAATCACTAGCTTGTTTTTGCGTATGTGTATTATGTGCGTCAGGCCTGTTTTAGATTGTTGCCATGTGAAAAGAAATTGGAGGTACAATGTAAGGCAGGTGGTATAGGCAATAGATTTGTCATCCTATGTAAACATTTAGCTGGCAAGATAATGAGAAAGTTTTGTTATCGTGAATAGATCTACGTTTCTTCAAAAACAAAATAAGACATTTATCGATATCCCGACGGATGACTTTGGTTGCATAGAAAACAATCATGGTTTGATTATATTGGTATATTTGTTTGACGAAAATAACACCATTCTTATATCGCGAATTTTTCCGTTTTTCCCTATATAATCTACCACCCTGGTAGAGGGTACATCATACCTTTGGTTTCGATCAACGAGCATGAGCTAAAATAATACACATGTTCTCATTAAAAAGACAGAGCCCCAAAATTATTTCTTCAACACCCATGTAAGATAATGAGGCATTATCTTATGCCTACTCTTGCTAAGTCCTACCCCAGTATTTCAGACAAATGTGAAATGAAGTTTATTACAGTGATGTTAATGCATTCTGCAGGTAGGACTATTGTGTTGCATTGGTGTAAGCAAGAACTTTATACATGTGCCTGTACTGAACGTTTAAGGCACTTAACCTCATATAGGCTATAATTAATCATGTACTAGCCTTAATCACATGTCATAATAAGGCGTTGTTCTAATTCCCCCTCGCCCAACCCCTTCAGTAATTAGGTTTCTAGTAAATTTGTTAATATCTTTTTGATTACACTAACAAGCCTACATTTATTAATTTATTTTCTTTATTTTTTTTTTCGTACAAGAATTGTACTATCCTACTGAACAATGCATTGTTACTTATGCAAATGTTAAGTTTTTGGTTTTCAATTTACGCAGGCGTAGGAAAGTTAACAACATGTTTTACATAACTGCTTTTTAAAACAGAGTCGCAGAGTGCAGGTGCGTGGTGAATTACATGCAAGGCGTCTTTGGCAGTTTATCATTAGCAAATATGAGAGAATTATTTTTTTTCAGGAAAAGCCTAGATCTAAGTACTCATACAGGAGTCGCATAGAGTAACTTAAGAGGCATTGTAGCTGCCGATATTGTTGAAATATATTTTACAAACCATCATCATGATGTGTGTGTGTGGGTTGGGGGAAGGGAGGCAAGTGCTTAAACAAAAGAACAGCCACTAACGTGAAACAACAGAATAAACTAATATTGAATTGAGTTCCAAAAGATCAAATGTCGTGTCATGTAATACTTTCGTTTCTTTTATGTATTTTTTATCATTCTTTTTCCTCTTTATTTATTTATTCATTTATGTATTTATTTATTTCTGAAACCACCTATTTTTAATGGCCCCAATGTCTCTTCTCCAATGGACGTCTCCTATCTTCCTGAGTAGACTTGGTTTCGGTATCCTCAGTGTAAATTTATCATCGTGCGCTAGCTGCGGTCAGTAATATCGTGTCCGTGAGTAGACTGCGTTCCAGTAATATTGTGTTTGTAGTTCAGTTAAAGATGGATACAATTGTGGTAGGAGGGATGGCCAACACAGTGTATGTCGTTGATCGCCATCTGGGAAATTAAATGGAATGCAACGTTTACGAACCTTTTTGGTTTCTTTAGTCTGT